TAGCGATGCAGGATTCGAAAACTTTGGTCGCACCAGAGATTCCTTTGGAACTCCTGATCGAGATTATGGCGAGACTGCCTCCGAAATCGGTGATGAGATTCAAGTGCGTCTCAAAGTATTAGTCATCTCTCTTCCGCTCCAGATATTTCTCCGACCGTTTCCTTATGGCCCCATCCCGACCACAACCTCGTATTTACATGACTTTATTGGACCTCCGCTACAACTACTCTAAGTCTCTGCTCCTATCATCCCCTCCAACCACTCCTCCCTCTTCCTTTGAGTTCGACCATGATCTGACCATTCATGAGATGGGAGGTTTCAACTTGCACGTTGTCCGTGGCTTTATCTGCTTCACAGTTTTCAAAAGGGCACGTATCTATAACCCTAGCACCAGACAACTTGTCATCTTACCTGCTATAGAATCCAATCTCATAGCTCAAGTAGATGATTACAACATCTTCTACTTTCTCTGCTGTGACCCTGTTAACGATCAGTACAAACTGCTCTCCACAATTACGGTAATGTCAGACAATAATATGCAAAACGTAAGGTCAGAGCTTTGGGTCTTTGTACTAGAAGCTGGTGGTTTCTGGAAAAGGGTTGCAAAGGATTTTCCTCCTCATATTCCTAATCCACTAGAATTGACGAGGAACGGAGTTTTATATTATTTGGCTTGGACCGATTCGCATACTTGTCTCCTTGTGAGTTTCGACATCAGGTCGGAGGAGTTCGATACAATGCAAGTACCTCGCAAGGCCGGTGATGTGCTACCTAGACTGAATAAGTGGGTGACTCAAATAGAGTATTGTGGGAAAGTAGCTGTTTTCGACTTCACCTTTCTCAAAGAGACTGGTATGGTGGATCTATGGGTTGTGGAAGATTGGAGGAAGAAAGAATGGTCGAGGAATACAATGGTTTTGAAGCCTTCACAGATGCAATTAGTCACTTGCGATAGATTGAAGCCAAAAGGTACAATTCTTAAAGGCAAGATTATCTTGGTACCGCTAAAGTTGATTTCACCCTTTTACTTCCTCTGCTATGATCTGCGTACCAATGATTTAGAAAAGGTTGAGATCAAAGGGATACCAGATCGCTGGTTTAGTAGGCATCCAAGGACTAAATATTTTGACATGGAGTTTATGGATACCAGTGAGAGCATCAAGTACCTCGAAACTTAACATGGGATTAAGCTTAACAAATAATCGTTTCTATTTCTTCGTATATTTTTGTTTGTTTAGCAAACATTATTGAGTTGTTTTTTAATTGAATACTTATTCAACTTGAGTGATTTGCATTTATCTTTTTGAAGTTAGAATTTGTAGGAAAGATGAACATCAATATCAATAGGGTCTCAAAATCCATAATTTTCGTTCATTATGTGTATGTTGGATGAGCTTAGACCCTAAGTGAGCATACAAGTTTAAAAAAGCATAACCCTTAAACCATCTCCAATGGTCCCTCATTTTGAGAGAAATGCTAAAAAAATGAGGGAAATCCCTCTCCAATGGTCTCTCAGGGAAAAGCTCTCTCCAATGGTACCTCAAAATGAGAGAAAAAATGAGTTTATAAATAGTATTTTCTCAACACTATTCACATTACTCATTTTAGTATCATACTCTTTTATTTGCACTTTGAATCTTAAACTTTTTTATTTGTATTTTTGTAACAATAGAGCTTTATAAACTAGGTTACAAATCCTTTTAAATACCTTATAAAACTTACGTGTTTGCTTTCATAAATCAGTTTTATAAAACTTTTAAATAGCTTACAAAATTACCTCCAAATGGCCACTCTTTCAGCATTTTGTTCTTTTGTAAATGTCCATTTTTTACGATTGATCAATAAATTTGATATTTCATCAAAAAAGAAAGAAAACAAAAAAAAAGAGAAGAAAATTCAGAAATGGTGGAGACAATGAAGAAGAAAACAAAATAAGAGAAAAAAATAATAAAGAGTTTGGAAGAAAAAGAAGACAAGAAGACGAAACCGAAAAATAAAGCGAAGAAAAAGTGAAGAAAATAAAACAAAGATGATGAAGAAGAAATATTTGGAAAAAAATAAAATAAAAGGAAAAGGTAGAGAAGACGAAATGAAAATAAAACCGCAAGAAGAAACAAATTAGAAGTTGAAAATAAACAAATGAACTGCAGTAAAAAAATTTCATTTCGGACCTAATGTCGAAACTCACAGGCAGACAAGTAAGCGAATCCGTCCAAGCCAAATAATATAACACTCCGTTCCTAGTAAGTTCTAGTGGATTAGGAAAATGAGGAAGAAAATCCATTGCAACCCTTTTACAAAAACCACCAGCTTCTAGTGCAAAGACCTAAAGCTCCGCACTTATCGCTTGCATATTATTTGACATTACCGTAATCGTGCAGAGTAGTTTGTACTGATCGTTAACAGGGTCAAAACAGAGAAAGAAGATGTTATAATTACCTACTCTAGCTATGAGATTGGATTGTATAGCGGGTAAGATCACAAGTTGCCTAGTGCTAGGGTTATAGATCCGTGCCCTATTTAAAACTTTGAAGCAGATAAAGCCACAGAGAACGTGCAAGTCGAAACCTCCAATCTTACGAATGGTCAGATCTTGGTTGAATTTCAAGGAAGAGGGAGGAGTCCTTGGAGCGGATGATAGAAGCATAGAGTTAGAGTATTTTTCGCGGTCAAATAAAGTAATGTAAAGACGAGGTTGAGGTTGAGGTCGAGGCGGGCGGGACAGTAAGGACACGGTCGCAGAAATATTTGGAGCAGTAGAGAGATGACCAATACTTTGAGACGCACTTGAATCTCATCACAGATTCCGAGGCAATCTTGTAAGAATCTCGATGAGGAGTTCCAGAGGAATGTTCCTTGGGACCAAAGTTATCGAA